AATTATACACACACACACACATATATATATATATAATATATATATATATATATATATATATATATATAAGTATATATAAATTTATATATATATATATATATGTACACTTCACTGTGTACGCGAGTGTTGCTGGTGCAATACATACACGGATTGATTTTACAATTCAAGCCGAGCACATAGGATGACATTGTATTTATAGCAAAATTTCAATCAAATCAAATATTTTCTTCCGCTGATCACAGATAAGCTCCTACTTAAAAAATGCTCAATTAATTTGAAGCGGCTTTAATAAATTGGCTATTGTGTGATAACCAAGCACTGGGACCCCTTGCCTTTAGCGTGCGCCGGCCACCTTAAACATGGGGATGCCGGGGTTTTTCTGTTTGTACGTGTATTGTGTGTCGTGCGTTGAGCCCGCATATACCCTCCCCATTCCATCTAGTATTAGGGTTTCAGGGTTTGATGTTGTCAGCTCAGTATGCACCAGCCCAATGAGGGTAGGTCGCTATTGGATTCCTCGATTCCTCGTTATCGCCACTAGTGCACAAGTGTTTCATGTTACAGATGCTTTCTAGGAATTGCCTAGAGGTGTGTCCGCCCAAGTTGCCAAGTACTGAAGAGCGTGTAAACTACTTATTTTACGAAAGTAGAGTGTGCTAAATACTATATAGACTACAATTAGTAGAGCTATGATACGAATACTATATATATACCTAAATGTATCCGGTGCGATGCCAAGATGGGAAGAGTGATTATAAGTACACGTCGCAAACATCCGGTACATTCTCACCTCCACCTTGGCAATATATTTACTATCCATGGACTACCTAATTATGTCTGCCCCTCTGTCAAGTTCAGATGGGCGTGTGTAGCTAAATCCCGCGAATGTATCGTCCATCTTTATCTCCATACTGCGGCGATCGTCGGGCGTCGGTAATGGCTCTTGCACAAAGTCTGGATCGAAATTGCTCAGATCAAGAGCCCCGTCCTGTAAGTATACAAGCGCGAATTTAACAACATGAGTTGCAGTCTTACGGAATTACAGGCAATAATTACACATCCTAAGTTGGAATTCCGGGGATATAGAAGCACACACTTGTCACAAACAATTTGGAGTAGGGCTTGATTGTTTGGAAATACAATTTTAGAAGCTCCATTCTCACACATACAATAAAGCTCTTTTTCCACGAACACGCACTAATATACTTGCAGCTAAACAGCGAAGAGTGCAACATGACAATCACAATTACTGCGCGTGACGAGTCGACAGATCTATATCGTAAGGCTAGTGTAGTGATGCTACTCTGCGCTCTATCTGATTGTATGTGTACTAAATAATCGCGCATATATTTACATAGGGAGGCATATAACGAACAGGGTATATCGATTTCCCAAGCCCGAAAAGTACCAACCTGATTCGATACTACTGTAGATATGGTTCACTCGTACTAAGTGCAAATGTATAGAAACGACCTGATCTTCCGACATCTCAAATGGAAAGAACAATATACACCGCGACATCGTGCAAATAGTACGAAGCATTTAATTAGTGCCAGCGGTGTACAACCGAGAATGTCAACACCTATGTTCCCATACATTCTCACCCGATGGAACATACCACATGCAGGTTATAAGGCGGCTCATACTCCTTACGGACAAGCTTATCCCAGTCCGTATCCTTCAAGAACGCGTGATTCTTTACCTCTTCAGCGAGCGTAGGCCCACTGCCCAATCGTTGCAGAGGGTCTCTGATGAGTAGCTACAAATTAGAGGGGCGTATGGCGTTAGAATAGTAAAGAGTTTTTGGGAAGCAGATTGTACCTCTGATCCTGATTCCCCACTATGCTCTTGAATTGGTGAGAATCGAATCTAAACCTCTTTACCTAATACCCAATCACACTTCGAATTCCAGCAGTAGACTCAGACCACGCAATGTCGGTATCGACAACCAGAATAATGAGAAACTAGTACATGGCTACGTACATGTGTATACATCGGGCAGAGAATACTATATCCTCTTACGGTGTATACCTTCGCAAAGATAATTATGTGCCTAACGTTGGGTAAACCTGCGCTGTGTTCCCGCAAGTAATGTGACGATAACAAACCACACAACACACATTCGAGCGAACATTGTAGACGACAATACGACTAAAACACACATGAACCTGTTATTAAGGTCTCACCTTTGTCAGGAAGTCTTTGGCATCGGCCGAAACGTAATTCGGGATTCTGGGATCGGACTTCAGGATTTTGTCGTATAGCGTCTGCGATTACAGTGCCAGGGGCGAATATATGGTTCGTTTGAACGAGAGAGCGAGTATTCGTCCGGTATACGAATGCGATACCGTATTGTAAAGAGTGGCAAACACAACGTACGAAACAGACACAGATTTCTACTAACAATACCCTGCAGTTGTGTTGCCAAGCTAAATTTGTATTTAATCGTGTTGATGTGCGAGTTCATGTACACATATACACACTCACTCATTCACACGCACACATAATTATATATATATATAAATACAAATATATATATATATATAAATATATATATATAAATATATAAATATATATATATGTATATATAATTACAGATTGATGAGCTATGCCCTCGTTAACGAAATCCACAGGTACATAACAGCCGTCAATCGCAGCTATAGTTGTCGTATACAAAAATGAATATCATCCCGTTTGCGATAGACGTCCTTCGACGAACTATAAGAAATAACTAATATCACATTTGACACAATTCAATAGAAAAAGATGAGAGAAAACTATTTCGAATTATATAGGCAGCCGAACTGTTTTCTTTATCGAGACCATACCTTGTAATTTTTGGAGTAGAATGGCGGCAGGCCTACTAGCATTTCGTATACAACAACACCTAAAATTTGGAATAGAGCGTGACCAAATTTAAAATTCGTTTCGATTGGACTAAATCAGATCAATTTTACCACAACCACTTCTTGACTATTTCATTGTCCAATGCAATTGCCCATGTAACGTAGGAATGTGGGGATGTGCAGGTGTCGGAAGCACAAAGGTGTGCGACTACGAGAAGTAGCACCGTTGCCCAATCTTAACTGTCTCATAAACATCAACTCCAATCCCAAACACTATCAATCCACGGCAACTCTGCAACCCCAGTACAACCACACAGAAGATAAAACAGATATGGCCCCACAACACAAGCGTATAAAGCACCTTGAAGTACGTGACAAACACAAAACCTAACCAAGCTCTACCAATCCACGGCGTGTCCGTAGGGCTACTTAAACAGTACCTCCACTCTACAACCCCAATACAACCCCACAGAAATACCACCACAACACACAAGCGCAAGCATACACAAGTTCGTGAAGACCCCAAACAGAACGCAACCCTACCAAGCTACGGTGGTGTGTCCGTAAGGCGGAATCAACAGTGCCTCTGACTCCTACTATATATATATATATATATATATATATATACATATATACAATACATACATACATACATACAAACAAACATATATATTAAAGCATAGCATATCACATTTGACTAATCAACCTACCCAAACTCCACCAATCCACGGCGTGTCCGTAGGGCTGCTTCAACAGTACCTCCGGGGCGAGGTAGTCGGGTGTGCCACAAAACGTCTCGGTCCGAGCTGCCTCGTCTATATTCTCTTTGCACAGTCCAAAGTCTGTGAGGGCCACGTGACCATCGCTGCACAGCAGTATGTTCTCTGGCTTTAAATCGCGGTACAGCACGCCGTTCTTGTGCATAAAGTCCATGGCCGAGACGATTTCGGCCGTGTAGAAGCGCACCCGCGTCTCCGGGAAGCTTTGCTCTCTCTGTGACGAAACACATAACAGCGCGATAAATTAGGGTTAGGATTCTAATCGATAGTTAAACAGTATGAATCTAGATCAACAAACATAAATGTCTAATGACATTTCATGAATCCAAATCAACATGCATATATCTAATTAATTTCAAGATGAATCTAGATCAACACACATATAACTAACTAATGAAATTTCATGATGAATCTAGATCAATATACATGTAATTATTTAATTAAACTTCATGATGAATCTAGATCAACATACATATATTTATCTAACTAAATTTCATGCGAGAACGCAGCGACAGTATAGTTACACAAACATTAAAAGCTTTTTCTGTGGATCTGCTAAATGCACAATTGATAAAATGACCACGCTACTCTCACAGCCTCTATCAGATAAGCTTAAGTATCGGTGGCGGTCATATAACACCCAAGTACACAAATAAACACAAGATCTTGTGTGTAAATAATGTGCAAAACTGTGAAAAACAAGATCACTAAACTCGAGGGTGACAGACAAGGCTAAGTTCACCTGGAGGTGAAAAACGAGTTCTCAGTCATAGACAAATTCTAATACCTAGTCACGCAGTTAGATACATCATTTCCTGTGATAAACTGCGATGTGAAAAGATGTGGAAAAATAGAATACAGGCGTTTCACGTGAAAACTAGACTGGCGATCCATGGTACACGATGGGCTAAGTTTACCTGAAGGTGAAAGAAAAGTTCTCCGCCATTGATATAGTCCAATACAAAGTACAGCTTGCGCGGGGACTGGAAGCAGTAGTGCAGACCCACTAGAAAGGGGTGGTGCAAATTCTTCAGCAGCACGTTACGCTCCGTCATTACATTTCTGTATTACGAGAAAAAGGGGTGTAAGACAGGGCGAATACTCGTTGATAGCAATTTTACCAAAGTCTTAAATTATGTGTAGGTTACGCTAGAAATTTTATAGTGTATGCAAAGTCCATACATACACGTGGAACAGTCGTGTATGAAAACAATAAGTGAAGTGCACATACTAGTGGGGAATTGTGTATTAGTATGGATATGCGCCAGCAGAGATCCGAACCACGCCCATAGAGCTCACCTTATTTGGTTCTTTCTATTTGACTTCTTTTGAACCTGTCGCTTATCTAATACTTTAATTGCGTACACCAGTCGCGACGCCTTTTGTCTCGCCAGCAGAACGCGCCCAAAACTACCTTTTCCGATTACCTGCAAAAAATAAATGAGAATTTGGGTCTTTGATCCAAAAATAAAAAATCGATAAAAGATGTCGAAGCATGTCTACCTACACATCGGAATATCGTCAACCAATGAAGCCAGACATTACTACGCATACAAAGATACGTATCAAAGAATACAATAACCGCTCCGGTACCTTTTTTCCACTCCACATTCCTATCAAATCTACATTGGCACGGAATTATCCTAAGCTCTGTGCTCGGTACTTCCACAGGCCCAATGGGAATACGTTAGATGCCAACAGCGTGTACACACACCTTTAAAAGATCGAAATCATCGATGCACACAGAGGGATTCTCTAAGCCACCCAATTCCACATTGGACAGTGCGAATTCATCCTCCACCTCAATTTCCTTCTCTTCTTGGCGGGCCAACAGAAGACTGTAGTCCTCCTATCATGAGGATGAGACAGGTCAGATTAATGTCTAGAACAATAAATTGAGAAAACGCCCGACCACCACAATCATTTCATGATCCATTGCGAATTTGCATCCTGACCGCAAAATGTCTATATAGAGCTCGCGTTCATAGTTTTTGTGAACTTCCGTAGCCTGGACGATCATTTTTAATCACTTTCTTGATATCGCGGCTACTCCCACTGCAAACCCTTAAGTCTACTCGAACAACCCCTAGTGTATATGATTCAGGGTTTTGGGGTTTTTAGCAGAACCAGTTGAGTGCCAAATACAATTCTGGTCTGGTTGGATTAGGGTCTGGGATACCCATCCCTGATACTGCTACCTTCATTCTGGACAGTCAAGCGCAGGCGATTTCTGTTGCGCACGAGATACACCACGTACTTGTGCGTACACGCGTCAGTACTGGTTCCGCATGAAATATGGCCATCTCATTAAAATAGACGGCAAACACCACGGAATGCACAGTGGGGTAGAACTATCCAGTCGCAGTACGGAAAAGAACCCATTAAGACAAGCGCACCACGCGCTGAACATATTACATAGGCCCTGAGGGCTATACACCATAATCGACTGTATATCACTCGATAAAGCCTAGCAGCAGATGACATACAACAAATATATCAGACAATACAAACAGATACTACAGGAAAAAAATTGTGTACGTGCCTGTTTCACCTCGTCGTCGTGATCGCGCGAACGCCGGCTATCGTCTAGAAGGAATCCAAACACAGCGTGGGAGTGCGCAAGCTTCTTATCATTTAAAACTGACTATAAGAGTCCATCAACAGGGGGTTTAGATGCAAAAAAAAAATGAGATGTTTGAAAAGAGGAAACGGTAATGGCGAGTGACTGGTGAGCGATGACACTTATCCGTGTGTATGTGTATGCGAAAAAAAACTCTACGCCAGCCACTCTGCCTCTCAACCGTTTCGACGGGCGAGAACACCCATGGAAAAGCAAAAGACATTGAGCACATTAGCGTTAAGCAGATGCATCAGTGTGCTACATCCCGTGTCTACACATATAATAATCGAAATACTACCAGCACACAAACACTGACGTCGATGCAAACTGGCCCTGAACACAATCTCCACCTATACGCCAGCAGTATACATAGTTCAATAGATACTCAATCAGACAGGCGAGCGATAAACGCTACAACACAGTATATACCAGCAGTACAAATGGTCCAACAGACACTCAAGCAGACAGGTGAGCGATAAACGCTACAACACAGTATAGACCAGCAGTACAAATGGTCCAACAGACACTCAAGCAGACAGGCTAGCGATAAACGCTACAACACAGTATAGATCAGCAGCACAAATGGTCCAACAGACACTCAAGCAGACAAGCGAGTGAAACACCAAGCGCCGAGGCACTAATATGCGCTACTGGCAACTTCTCCAGTTAAGCACTGTCACTGACACCAATCCGAATGACACTACGCTTGGCGCTTCCATTATGGCCAGAATTTACACCATGTGTGAACCACAATACGAAAAAAACCCATGGTCAACTTAGAATAGCATACACTGATTGCATAGCTACCAATATACATATTCGAATCACAAACCTTCAGGTACTTCTGTAGCCCTTTCCGCCTCGTATTGATGAACACGGGGTCGAAGTTATCAAATATGTATCTTTTGGCGGGCAAGTTTGGCAGAAGTGTATTCGGAAAACGTTTCCCCAGTTTATCATGTAAACTTCGGAAGTCCGAATAGCGTCGGTAGATGGCAAACAATTGGTTTTCCACTGACACAACAATTTTGTATACAGTATACCGTTTTCTCCCTGCAATCACACAGGCAAAAAAAAAAGGTGTGTGGGGGGGGGGGGGGGTAGTCAGTATAACAATGACAAAAGAGGTCAATATAATTGGTCTATGCACAGGACCGTTTTCGTGTGTATGTTTTGTTGTTAATTCTTTGTCTGGCTGCCAGACGGTAGGACAACCAATTGTAAAAACTGAAAACTGAATTCATATGCAGCACAATTGGTCACAGCGAACCGAATTCCCAACTCGGATACATCTATGTAGACCTATGTGTATGCAGAAACCTATCAAACGATGGAAACAATGGTCTCGTGAGTAAAGCACACGTCATTTACGGCACAGAAACGCTGCCAATGACATACGCACGGACAAACACAATATGACAATAGATTTTTGTTCTACACCCGAACATACAAACTAATAATAAGACTACTACACCGCGAAACGTAGGAATTCAGTATACACATCACATCAATGATATACCTTTACATATACACAAATTCCGACACAAGTCAAATGCGAAAGCCGACCAACTTTCACAGTATATATAGACTACACATGTCTGGCCCCAAACACCTTGTTGTATGCGCGAATCCACAATCACAGCATCCTGCAGTTTCTTATTTTTCTTTATCGTGTTTGTCTGCGGCTGTGGTGTCTTGGCTCTCTGTGCTTCCTCCTCCAATGGGGTCGAGCCGTTACTCTTCCTTAGTGGGGGACATGAGGGCGGTCTCGACGAAGGCCTAGATAAAAGGTGGTTAGGATAAACATTAATACCAGTATGTGGAAAGATGGTAAACTGTGGTTTAAATAGACTTTGGGGGAAGGCCAGAGTATAAATATAGGAATATGAAGATCGAGGGTATGTCTCTGGTGGGAACAGAAGATAAGCAGCATGAATTCCAAGGATATCGAGAACTGCAGTGTGAAACGTAAAATCAGTCAGCACACGTAGCTACACATATCTCGATGATGGCATCTTATATACGCGCAGATACGTATGACGCACATTCATAATTAATATATGAGCTCTTCGAAGTGGGTCCTCAGCGCTACACAAGAAGTGGGCGAGGCTTTGAATTCCAGGATGATGAGTGTCAGGAACAGTCTGGCATCAACAAGGGTGCTACATATAATTCGTGAATAGTACATTAATAAAAGCCGTGCTAGTAACGGCCATACTTGATACGATACGTACAATTTAAAGAACGAAAGATAAGGACTGGAGCCAAAACTGTTGTCACGAACGAAGCCAAAACAAAAGTGAAAGCCAGCATGCAGACATCATAGTTTTCATGAAAAGCTTCGATTGAAACATATACTCGAACAATCTAAAACACACACAAACATATATATCGGGCCCGCTTGGCGCTAGTATCGGTTTAATATAGAGTAACACAATCACAGTCTGTCAACGCATAGCATAGACAGTAACACAGATGAGATGATATACGAGCTCGACTCTCTGGCAATCTATTTTGTACGTATTTTCAAGACATGAACCATTCATGTGAATATGAATATTAATGTGGTCTGCTAGAACACTCCACACGCTTGGTGTGAGACCTCTGAACCGATTCATACGCCCAACTACTGAACTAATCATCTTGGCTCCTACACAACAGCGCAGATCCACGTGAGCATATATATACATACCTGTACAGACACTTTCCGTAAGTTCGAATTGCAATTGCATACCTGGTTTGGGACCCCTGCTTTGATCCGTGCGCCTGGCTTTCGAGCAATCTATCTTGACTTCTGTACATTCCACTCGATCTGAGTTGTTGTCCACGGGGTCCGTGACTCCCGTTACTGCTGCCACTGCTAATGGGTATTGCACTCGAACCAGTGGTCATAGGTGGGTCTATGGAGGACTTAGTGACAAGGCCGGCTGCATGTCTGTCGAGTTCTGTAGCGTGGCCGGATGGCTGATGTGAGTAATACCCCCATATATGTCATATACGTATAAATATACTCGACCGTTTATACAAATCCATACATATACACACATATATATATATATATATATATATATATGTGTGTGTAGAATAGCATATATATATATGTATGTATATATAGATAGATATATATATAAATAGTAAATATATATATATACTCTATATATATATATATAGATATGGATATATATTTATACAAATATATTTATGTGTGAGTGTGTGTATGTATATGTCCATATATATGTACATATATATATATATACTAAAATATATATATATCCTAAAATATATATATATGTATTTATATATAAGTGTGTGTGTGAGAGAGAGGGAGTGAGGGTATAAATATATATATATATATATATATATAATTATATTATATATATATATATATATATATGTGTGTGTGTGTGTGTGTGAGTGTGTGTGTTTGCTAGTGTGCGTGTTAGTGCTAGTGTTAGTGTCAGTGCCAGCGTGATTGTGTATGTGCATGTGAGTGTGTGTAAGTTCATATAATTGCTTTCAATCGATTCGTGCCGTACGAATGGTCATTTTAATTTTACCTATAAAAATTTCAGTTGTAGGTCAGACCAACGAGCAGGGGTTGCGAACAGACTATATACGCAAAGCATTCCCGATGTCAGAATCGACGCTGAAGATTTTGACGAGTCGATCACACAAAGTCTATGAGACCCCCAGTGCAATATACATATACATTTACTGGAAGTGCGTTCACTAAAACAAAATGTGTGCAGAATGGTGTGTACAAAGGAACCCCTGCAAATGATTGAGACTGAACAATGCTCCTTCACACGACATGAAGACATACCGTCATCTGATAAGACAATGTCCTTGAGCTCATCGTCATTCCTATCTATAGGGTAGTCTTCATTATATACTATATCTGCGCCGCTAAATCTTTCCTCTATATTTATACTGCCTCGATTGTTTCCATCATTTGAATGCGAATATGTGAAAGTAATTGCACTAGGCATACCATTTTGATTAATTTCCGGGCTGTCGTCGACTGTGATACTCTTCGCATTAGCTATAGCAATCGTCTTATTGTTACCACCTATACTTGTACTGCCTGACGGTTTTTGCTTCTGTTCGTCACTTAACTTATCATTGTCTACTGTATGCAACGCACTCACAACATGCGCAAAGTTCAGAGGTGAAAGCCTGGCTGTCTCCATTGTACTATTCTGTGCGGACACCGTCGTCGTATTTGCGGGTGTTGTATTTATGCGTATGTTATTGCTTTTATTCGCACTTGCAAAGTGCAAATCCCCTACAACCTTCAAACTACTTGTGCTGCCGGTTACGTCCCCTACCATGCTGTTGCAATGGTATCGTAAACGGGGTTTTTCGATTGGTATATATCGACTTGGTCTATAACTTATACTAAAGGGTGTATTTTAGAAAGTCATCTACATCCCCACATATGTATATACACGCTTAGTACACAACACAGGTCTTCGATTATCGTACCCGTACTACCCGTACTACCCGTACAAGAGTACTTTAAAAAAAAGCTATGCTCTCATAATACCAACAAGAGAGAAGCGAGAACTTGAGGAGGCTTTCTCTCTTTTCTTTTTTTCTTCGTTTAAAAAAAAACACACAAACAAAAGTGAATAATTTAGAGGGCTATGACAAAAGCTTTACTTTTTTCATAAATCGTATGTACCGGTCCCAGAGCGTCCGCCGTCCGGATTGCTAAAAAATTCTCCAGCAGAATCAGAATCACACCCCGATGGGGTCTGTGCTGCGTCTCGCGTCTGTCTGTGAGATTCATAAATATTGTGCACAAATTCGATAAATAAATGAACACCAAAGAAAGTACGTTTTCGCACACACGCAAGATGAGAGAAAAAGCCTGAGACCTGAGTTCTGTATTTTTACTGTTAGTTCAAACGTAAGTCAAGATTCTCCTGCTAATTGTGTTGATCTCGATGCTATTAGGTGCACATAATCGGATTTTTCAGACTAATAGTAGTCAATTGACAATTACCCTGAGCAATTATCACGTTTTGTAAGCAAATAGCAAATCGGAAACAAGGAGAGGCGAGTCTCAGCAGCGAAATGACTGGATCAGAGTTTAGAATATAGTCATTTTCCCCAGGCTATTTTTGTGCTGATTGTGGTCATTCAGATTATGTACAAGGCATTTTATTTTATTTTTCAGCTTTCTATCACATGCCCTTTTCACTTTTTCATACAAATTAAAGGAAAAAGCTGAAACCTGTTGGGGTCTCGGAGCCCGGGGGCCCGCCCCCAAGTGGCCCCGACCTTGTTTTGGTCTCTTGAGTCTTGACTCTTGACTCTTGATCAGTCTCTTGACGGTTGAGTCGGCTGTCGGGTTGACGCTTCGGTTTTTGATATGTCGACATGATGTCGGTTTTTTCTTCGAGCCCTGATATCGATTCCGACAGGTCTGGTTGATTTCAGACACATGTCGGACATTCATTATCCCTCCAATACTTTCCAGTTTCCGATACGAGACTGATCAGTGAAGTCAAGCCTCCTGGAGTCCTGGTTCCTGACTCCTGAGACCTGTTCACTGCATTTATATTTCTGACACGATCTGGTTGGCTTCACAGTTCCAGAAACTATCGGGCACACATTTATTTATTAATTTCAAAATTTATCGGACTCGCATTTTTTTTTATCCCTCCAATACTTTCTGACCTGTCTGGAAGTGAAATCAGGTTAAGAAAAAGGATTTAAAAAAAGGGGATTATTACATATGTATGAACTTCACATTGCACCCCTGCAGGCTGTAGTGCCTGGAAAAAAGCGTCTATTTTTTCAGTAATTTGAACCCGGTTCAGTTTTTTTAAAATCGGACAAGATTAAAAAAATTGAGAAAAATAAACAATATATAAATTGTATCATTAGTAACAGTCTTCGACGGGCGCATGCCTGAGCGGTTAAAGGGTATGATTAGAAATCATATGGTGTCCCACCTCCAAGGTTCGAGTCCTTGTGCGCCAATATTTTTCACCAAAGTGTAA